ATCTAGATTATTTTCTACCTTCACTGGGATGCGTCTGATCAAAAAGGAAACCAACCAGGCAGGCCAGGAAATTGTGGAAGGACTGTCAGCTCCTTTGAGCACTGTGTTCAAATATATGTCTAATCCAATTAAGCCCAAATAAGTGGTCAGAGGCTGTGGCATGCTCTCCCAACAACTCCTCCCGTGGCAGAACTCAGTGCAGTATTTCAGTGAGGCTCTGCAGTTGCTGAGATAGGCAGAGCAGATGGGAGTGGTATCAATCAGTTTTCAGCCTACTTAAACACACTGCCATTACCTGCACTTAATGTTGGGTCTTTTGCCTTAACAAGGTGACATTAAAGGCTCAATTCTGGAAAGCACATAAATGTGTTTTGAGAAAATTATGAGTTCCATGATCAAAATAAAGGGCTGTGTTGGGGGAGAACAGGTGATACTAAAAATCATACCAAGTAATGAGAAGCAGAAGGAAAAAACCTTTTTATTTCAAACAAATCAAAGCAGTGCTGAGAAGAGTTTGTGTAAGCAGAAACAGGAATATTAAGGAAAAGCTAAGCCATAAGCTAAGTCAGTGTAAATACGTCATGGTTTGGACTGTCTCCATCTTCAGTCAAGTTCAGGAGTCACATGAATGAGTTCATCCTACAATCAGGATCTAGAAATTCCCTGCACTGTTGCTCGTTTCTGCTTTAACTGTTAATTCTTGTTCTGTAAATTGGTCTCTTGAAAAGGGAACATTGTACCACAAGGGCCCTGGGATCAGCAGTGCTGGGTCAGGCTGAGGACAAACACCATGGAACTGCCCTATGGTGCCCCTCCATAGTGGGGGTGGGAGGCATCTCAGATCTTTGTGCTAATTTAAAACTGAAGCCACATCTCCTAAAATCATCATAATTATACCGGTTGTGTGATTTGTGTGGGACATTGCAGCCATGGCTTTCCTGGTAGCTGCTGTACCAGTATGTCAGCATGAACCTGAAGCTCCCATTATCCCAACCAAGCACAGGCATTAGGTACAAACAGTTTTACCAGAAGTGTTTCAAAAGACCTCAAGCCTTTGTGCGGGGGTGATGAGAGAGAGAAATAAGACATGTTAAAATGTTTTATAAAGATATATTTTAACTTGTAAGGCACTCAGGAACCATGGTGATGGTTCCTGAAATTGCTTAAATATGAGCTCTGATCCACAGGGAACTATCCTAAGATTCAGAAAGAGCATCAGCTGGTAATAACTTGTAGTCAGTACCTACCTGGGCTTGACTGAACAGGTGACACACATCAGAAATCCCTTGAGACTGATCTTCATGTGAATGTTGACCACTGCTTTGGCAGCATAAAGTGACCTTAATAAAAATGAGGCTCCTGCTGTAAGCTTGCACTGCTGGGAGGTTAAAAACAATCTCTCATCCAAATGGCTGGGCACTTAGTGCCAGAACAAATTTACTTTTCCCCCCAGTATTTCCTTTTTTCCACATTCTGATGGACTTTGCATGGAGCTTACTGTGGCTTAGATACCATGGAGTTAAGATGAGAAAACAGATTGCTGTGGTTGTTCTGTGCATGCCAAGGGGAGCACAAAAGATTATTAATTGCAGAATGATTCTGACAGTAACAGCCTTGATCCTGCACTGGGTATCATTCTGTCACTGTCAGAACCTGTCACTGTTGTAGGAGATGTCTTGTATTATCCATCATGTTCTGGTTGGTTTTGCTGTTCACAAATATGGTTTGAAAACACAGTTGCAATTTCAAGTCATTTTTATGTTCCTTAGTTTTAAACAAGTAGTTTACAATCATACTCTAAATATTTTTAAAGGGATCCATTTTACAGCAACCTTAAAAGCTTACCATATAAATCTAGCTATTTTAATTAATATACTGACATTTTGTTGCTGTCTATATAAAATTAAGTTGCCTTTATTTTTCAACTGCAGTAGTAGCAGTATTCAGGCACTGTCCTGCAGTTCAGTAATGGAAATTTCCCAGCCTCAAAGCACACTCTGTCTCAGTCAGCTGCAATAAAACTCTGAGTGATTTCAATATTGTTGTGTGCCTTACTTGTCCTCGGTTATCTGGAGCTTGTATCTTTTGAAAACCAGCAACTCCTCATGAGCTTGCTTCATCTTGCCCAAGACTTAAAATTCAGTAAACAAGCTGGGGATGATAAGAGAATTGAATCACCAGATAAAAAGTTAATTTACAGGACTGACAAAATGAAACATACACATATTAAGTATTTACACATCATATTACAGCAACTTGTGAGTCTTCACTGAGGTCCTGCTTTCATGACCCCTGTTTTCTTGTGCTGAAGCCTTATGCACTGGAAGGCTATTAAGTACTTACAGGAAGATTTAGCTAGTACATAATATCAGTCTCTTGATCTCTGCATTTCTGGTATCACTGATTGCTAAGAAAATAAAAAAAAAAAAGGAGATAAAATTATTACATAACCTCAGAAGTCTAATAATTTACAAATACTAGAACATGCAGTGTGTTTCCCCCACACTTATTCTTGGTTCAGCTGTAGGCAGGACAAGTGATGCCTCCAGCAGAGGCAGAAGTCAAAGCATGTAGAAACGGGATTATTAGGATTTTATGTTGTCCAAATATTGCATTTTTAATGCTTTTTGCTCATAGCTAAAAATGTAGGGAACTTTTGTAATGCAGAGAGTGGCTGATGTGAGGACAGAGGAAAAAGGGTGATGCAAGAGTGAATAAAAAAGAATATGGGGGGGAAAGTCTGTAAGTTAAATGTAAAAGGAACAGGTAGTGGGACTGAGCTGTGGGAATAGAAGGGTCCTGGTTGGAGGGGTGATATCCAGACCCCACTGCATCTGGCTGTGTGCAAGTGAGGCCCCTGGCAGACACCCAAGTCTATTCATGGAGAACCAGTTTGGGGAACGATGCCAGGCCTTCTAAAAAGAGCTCACCAGGACCTGCTTTCCCTGACGTGGGTGCCTGCTGGGGTGACGTTGATCACAAACGTGGCTGATGACTCTGATGGCACATGGACACGTCCTGCTTGTCTGCTGGCATTAGGTGTAATCTAAACCATGGGCAGTGGCTGAGCAGAAACAAGTGATAGGGGACAGCACACTAATGGCATTCTGAGATTTTCACCAGGGTTGAACATTCAGCATTAAAGGCTGTACATCCCATGGCTCCCTTCAGGAGCAAGCTGGAGGCTGTAGCACAGAAATTCTGCATGAAGACTCCACATACAAATTGTCACCCTGGGCTTTCCTGGGCATGTGGCAAGGAAACAGGATTCCCTCTTTTCTGCTGAGCAGGTCCTGACCTTGCTGACATGGAACTGCAGGAGAGGCAGCTCCAGGTTTGTGGCTGCAGGGAATTCTGCATCTTTGCTGTCTTCACCTATGCTGCTGGAGGGAGAACAGGTATCAGTCTCCTGTCCTTGAACTTTTTGTTCAATCCACTGATCTGACAGCCCAAAGGGTCTTTACTGCTTATTTTTAATAGATTTTGTATAAATTATAGACATCAGTTTCTACAGTCCAAAACTGATGAATCATCATTTTAAAAAACTAAAAAATTCTTTTGCAGTTTTGCATATCTATAGCAGATAAAAGCTGTGAAAAGAAGAGAGATTTCCTAAAGGAAGTGGTGTCACCATATTTTGAGAAAAAGAGCCAAGCTGTTGGAATCTGTGTTGCATTATGGGGTAATGCAATACCTCTAAGCACTTCCTGTTTATCTTTTCACCACATCATAAAACTTGCAAGCATTTTTTAATAAACACTCCTAGAGAAAAAATAATATCCAAATATACAACCCCTGTGGCATCTGTCATTATAAACAAAAGAAGGTTTTATTATATATATTGGAGGACAATTTGTGTGAAAGCAGCAGACTTTGAGGGTCCCATCCAGCTCTTGCTGAAGGCCATGTCATATCTCTCATTAGGTCATTGCACCCAGCACATGATTCTTCTTATATGTAAACAGCAAGAGGTTTGAATGAGCAAGTGTAATTTTCACTATCATCATTCGTTATTTTTTTAAACCATGTGGGGATACAGAGAACAAACATCTGCAGAATGGCAGGGGAGAAAACGGCAAAAGTAAGATTTTTTTTTTTTGTATGAAAACGGCAAAAGTAAGATTTGCTTTTAACAACAATAATCTGCCAGTGCTGAGGTACCTAATCAAATACACAAACTGTGCAGATGTTCAGAGTGGTGCTCTCTTGCTGTGTGGCCTTTCTAACTTGTCATCTTTATTCCTTCAATTAATTCTTCTGGATAAATTAACCTATCTTCTGGATAAACTAACCTATTTCCCTCTTCCTGGGAAAGGAAGAGCTGGGGAGCAGAAGGGTGCAGATTTTTCAACACCAGCAACCTCGATGGCACAATTTGCACCCCCAGCAGATAAAATCTTTGGCAAGGAAATGCAAATTATTGTGACAGATTCAGGATGTTCTTGTGATCTGGCTGGGGCTTGGTCTGCAGCTGACAGACCCACGGGGTGGGGGCTGGGGAGGGAATTCAAGGTTTCTGCCTGTTCCAAGGGGAAGCATTTTGATAGGCAACTGTACAACAGCAACACTGTACAGTCAGGCACAGGACAGGCTGGTGCCTCTTACAGCTTCACCACTGTTGAATTCCCTTAAAGTTCAAAGCAAACTACAAGGCTTATCTGTTTGTTCAAGATGGGAACATCTGAACTGCAGTTTCATGTGGTAAAATCCTGCTGCGTGGAAATGCAAGATGGGCAATGACTGTGTACAATTCTTGCTTCTTTAAATGGTTATAGCATTTAAAACTCTGCCACACAGACTGTTATCAGTTAGACAAGAGCAAAGACTGAACATCAGAAAGATGTTCCCTCCAGCTACCAGCAGTGGATGTAGCAAAATTGAATAATTAAGACATTTGTAGCTTTTAGATTTTGAAAGTTTTAACAATGGAAAATGATCTGGCTCACATTATCTTTGTCTTACCTGACATATGGTGGTTATTATTGCAGATACACAGAGCCTCATGATAAGAGATGCCTTTAATAAGTCCAATACATCCACTGTAATCAGGCACTACATTTATCTTACTGCATTACCAAGTCTCTGGGTTTTGTACAAGTGACACAAAATTGTTGTGAGGATATATCAGTGTCCTGAATATCAACTAACTTTTCAATATGATGTCTCATTTCCAACTGACATTAACATCCCAACTGAATCCCTGGCCTGGAAATCCTGAGAGAAAGACAAAGGCTGCTTAAAAAAACCAAATACAAATAATTATAAACAAAGACCCCAAACAAGAAAGAACATTATTATATTAGAAAGATATGGCAAAATATCTGTAGGATGATGCTCTGCTTCCCATTTTCCATTAGTGGTGGCAGGATAAGGTTAAGTGCTCAGGCTCTGCCAGCAGCACGTGTGGGGGAGCAGACAGCAGATGTGCAGCCACTTAGCCAGTGCCTTGTGCACCAGACCGTGGTATGGAAATGCACGTGGATATTTAATTGCTATTCAACTACAAGTTGCTTGGATTTATGAGTCTGGGAAGTGCAGATGCTGCAGTGAGGAATGAGTGTTTATTAGCACAGTAGCTGTGCTGGCCTCTCCTGCAGAGAGGCAAAGTGCCCCCATCTAGAGAAAATGGATTAAAAGGGGGCAGTGCACCACTCGTGTGTCCCATTTACCTTTGTGAAGTGCAGCTGGAAAAATGCCAATATATGGATACATTTCCATCATGAACTCTAAACAGATTTTACTGCTGCTTATCACAGATAATAAAAATGCAGCAGCTGTCCTCTTATCAAAACCCAATTTAGAGAAATGTATGGCTAAACAAGGGACATAAGCACCTTCAGGGGCAGCTACATGGATACATGAGAATAAACCCTTTAAGAGCCAGATTAGGAAGATGGGACCATTACCTGTACTCAAGCATTTTCCAGTGCTTGTTGCAGTAACCTTCTGTGGTTACTCTGCATGTGTCCCCTTTCCTTTGTGGTTCCTCTTGCACTACACTGTTCCCCATGCCAGCATCCTGCTGGGCTGCTGCAGTCACACTCAGCCCTCTCTCTGCCCCAGGGGCTGGTGCTGCTGGCTGACCTTGCCTCACCTCCCTGCTCAGGCATGTTCATCGTGTGCCCTTCTGAGGGAAACCCCACCTAGGAGGTGAAGTGAGGGGTTAAACATCAGCTAGGAGCAAGGCACCCCCAAAACACCCCAAATGTGCAGCAAAATTCTGGTGTTCATGCTCCTCCCGCTCATTGCGGTCTCAATCCTCACAGTGTCCAATTCTTCTCCTTTCCTGGACTGGTATATTTTTTACTGAATTCATTTTCTTGCAGTTTACTGAGCTGCATGAGCTCATTTAAGAGTCAGACAAGCACCAGACCTGCACAAAGAAAGCAGCATGACTGGAAGCAGAAGCATCATTTTGATACCAGCAGTCCTTTAGATTTGGCTCAGCTGCCAGGTGATATCACTCCCTAAGACTAGTTTCAGCTCTAAAATCAGGAGGTTTGACTGCACTGCTGAGAAGCCTTCAGACACTTCTCTTGCCTTTGCCATCCTTTGCTGCACTTTTCTCTCTTTTTGAAAAATGCAGGAAAAAGCCATCATGAGGGCAGTTTTGTCATGACTTCCTTAACCACCTCCTTTCTGCTTGTCCTCTACCTCTCCTGTTTCTGCCATTTATGCTTCCCAAAGTCTCCCAGCTGTAATTCTCTGTGCTCCTGGTGACATTGTCCTACCTCTCACGAGCAGCCAGGATCAGGAGAATCTTTCCACCAGAAATTTTCCCTTGCAAACTGCACAAGCAAGACAGACAAACCCAGTCCTCCTTTCTCAGGACAAGTGTTCAAAAAAAAGGTATTACACAATCCCCAAGACATGCACATTACTCACCAAAACAATCCTGGGAATCCTATTTGTGCCTCTCCTTTCTCTGCAGTGGTACCAGTGCCCTGAAGGCAGGACCCAGTAGCAGGACTGTATAAACCCAAAGCCTGCAATGGAGGGCACTGCTTTGTGCAATGATCAGCAGCCCTACTGTGAAGGACAGAAGGATCTTGCTGTGTTTGTTTTGTGATGTGTTCTGCTAATTTATACTGTTGGATTAATAAAAATAACAAGATAGAAGCTTCCAAATGGAATCCATTGCTAACTGTCCTTCATAGCTCTATTCTTGTTCCATGCACATTAGGAAGTGCACATTATCTGGTAAATCAAGACATTAGAAACAAAAAAATGCCTTTATATTGTAAGGGAGGGGGAAGCCTTTCTAGAAATACTGTAGAAACAGTCACATCCTCTATTTTTGCCTTTTATAAAAGGCAGGCTGTGTCTTATTATCATCAAGGAAGAAGTAAACAAATGTAATTTAATCAGTTCTGTCTTTCGTTGATTTGCATCAGCAAGAATAAAAGACAAAGGCAGAATGGAAAACAGCAGCTTTGTGCTAAAAGTTTCAATGCACAAAATACTTCTTTCTCCAGCTGTCAAACATTAAAAAACACTCTGCATACCAGTAATAATAAAAGTGTCAAACAATTGACCACAATGGGAATCACAATGCTTCATTAAAAGCTCTAAAGCAGAGTAGAAAAGGTTCCAGACATTTGCTAAACAGAACTAAATGCTCAGATATTTTCAAAAAGTGTCAGAAGATGCTTTCATCTAGTCTAGTCATGCAGATAAATATCTCCTTGCTTATTCCAGCCCAGTCTCCAAGCTCCTGCTGTTTCAGCAGTAACAGCTGCTTGTGCCACTTGCTGTCCTGAGCCTGAGGCAGCTCTGGTGCACCACAAGAGGTTAATGTCCTCTCCAGTGATGAGGTTCCATTGCATGTGGCATTGCAGGGATTTAATCAGTAATTTTGTATTTACATACATAATTATGTATTATTTGAGAGCCTAACCTATTTGTTCAGCTGACAGGCGATGCTGTGATAAGGAATTTCAGCAGACAGGATATTTATAGATCCTTTATCTCTATGTACAATCAGAGCTAAAACATCAAACAATACCCCGAATGAAGGGTTGTTCCAGTTCAACTTTACCCCATTGTTGCTTTTCCTTTTTTTTTTTTCTCCCTCTGTCTAGTTAGTACTAAAAACTTGGCAGTGAGGGAAAAAAGGGAATGTGACTCACACTGACAACTTCATTTGCTGTAAGAGACCTCAGTAATTGCTCTAACCCACTTACAGGAAAGCTACCCCTCCTCTTTCTCTCCTTCTCCACCCTTGGACAGACAGAGGCCACGCTTGTAACAGGAGCAGCAGGCTGCTCCCAGAGGCCAGGCTATCACTTAAGGAGTAACCAGGCCTTCCTTTTCACTTTTCTTCTGCATTTCAAGTTAACCCCTCACAAGAATTTAAGCAGCTTCAGCTTAAGGGGCATCTTCCCACCATGGCTTTTTCAAGAACCCAGTAATAAGCAGGGTTTGCAAAGGGCTCACAGCTCAAACACAGCAGGGGTGAGGTGGCTGCTCCCACAACACACAGGGCTTGGCAGCCAGGACAGCAGCTCCAGGATAAAGCTGCCGAGGAGTCAAACAATTGTGGCCTTTTCCTTTCCTTGTGGGATGGGGGCAGGGAATGGTAAATAGAAACAGAAGAATCAGCACAGTGCCATGCAGCACTCTACCAAAATATATTTTCATTTTTACTTACATAATCAACATGAGAGCACATTCGTAGTGAGGTGGCGGAACAGATGGCAAAGCCTTCGTTTTCAGCAAGACGTTAATTAACAACAACTCGGGTTTCTGTGAGAGAGAGGGTTTGTTCTGCTCTAGCAGGGTTGAGATGGGTGCTTACTACATAAAGCAAAACTCACTTTCCCCACACAGAATTGTTATTTCTTTTTTCCATTACATCCCTGTTACTTTTCCAGGATACTCTCTGTAACACAGCAACATCCCAAATGCAAACTCTTATAAAAAACCATCACAAGTTTGGGTCCTACCAGTAGCTTGGGATTCTCCTTGCAAATACTTTTGAATGCTCTGTGGACATATAAATATAGAGAGGAAAGGGAAGAAGAGCCTTGAGTAAGAGAGTTGTGTGCAGCTTACACTGCAGGTGAGGCTTATGTTATGTGCAGCAGCTTTCACAGAGATACGATTGAAGCCAAAGCTTCTTAGATGCTCTGCATGAAGTTCTCTCTCCTCTTTCCTCTGTTCCACACACTTGGACTTCACATCTTCAGCCCACTGATGCAGCTGTCCCAGGGGGGACTGAAGCAGAAAGTAGCTATGAAAGATATTTATTCAAACCACAGGCAGAGAATGCATCACCCAGACACAATGAATAGGGAAATGGCACATGAAGCCGAAAAGTCTGGCCTCTATTTTTAATCTGATAAGCCGTCTGGACAGCCAGGCACACTGAACAGCCCACAGATATCCAGCTCTTCCCTGCCTGTGCTGCCAGGTGATAGGAGGTTGCTTTTTACTGCTTTACATTCAGCATCAGTGGCTCTCCAGAGTCACACCCAAGTCCTGCAGAGGCCTGTGGGCCACATTCCTCCGGGGATTAAATCCATCCCAGCAGGAGAGAGGGAAGAGATGCAGGCCAAAAGGGATAGGCAAGCAGTGGGGAGGGAGGAGTTGAGGGGAGCAGGGAAGGAGTAGCAATAGGGAACATCCAAATTAAGCCAGGCAGGAGCTGGAGGGCAGTACTGCAGAAAAGGCAGAGGGGAAGCAGTCATACACTCCATTATGTAAAATAGGGCAACAGGGCATCTGGATTGATCTGCTGTGGAGCTTGGAAATGAAGCCATTATTCCCACGTCTCAGCACTCATCCCTGTGCTGCCAGCAAATCTCTAACACCTGACAAGAAGTGTCTCTGCCCATTCTAGTGACATGCACATCTAGAAAGGTTGCTGTTCCATTACTCCCACTTCCTCTGTGCAGGCAGTAGATGGCTGTGGGTCTGTGCTGCAAGCTGAAAATCACACCCTACTCATTACTCTGAGGGGCTGAACAATATTTTTGCAATTATTATTTTCTTCAGTGTGTGTTAAAAACATAGGTTGGGATAACTATGACATGGAAAAAACTACATTACAAGAATACTGCAGTTATCAAGTCTAACCAAAACCGAGTATGTGGTTGAACTAAGAGTGTCTGTTCCACCTTTTAGCACTTTAAATCAAAACTTCAGGTAGGCTCCTGTGTCTATTGCTCTCAACAACAAGAATACACATCCTAACATTGTTATGCTGAGCACAACCAACCTAGAGAATTGTACAAGAGTTTGGCCTCCACCAGTCCATGTTGTGTTAAACCAGAAATGGGCCACAGAGAATATCTTGCATACATCAGATGGCAGAGATTCTTTGCAGGATGATTTTCAGGAGAAGTGCCAGATATCACTGAAACTGTGCTTAGGAGGTGCAAAGTAAAAGAAAGAAAAGAACACCAAAATTGTATTCTGCTTAGCCTGTCCTCTTGCAGGGGGGTTAAGAGAGAGATGTGAGAATCAGCAGAACTGCTTCTGTACTTACAGCTGATTTTTTGGGAGGAGAGAAGAGTGATGAAAAATCCTTTGCAGGTATTACCTTTAAAAAAATATTATCAGCATAACAAGAAGATAGCTCTTCAATCAAAACCAAAAAGAGAAGCGACCAACAGATGCACAGACAAGCACTGACTTCAGTGGAGCTGCAAGGCTGAATTTGGCTCCAATTCTCTGAAGTACTTTCAAAGCAGGAACATACTGCATACAAATGAGCATTAAATAATTCGCATCATTAAGAGAGCTCTGAGCAGCTCATCTGGACTTTGAAAAAAGCTAAAGCAAATGTAGATTGTTTGAATACCATTAGGGACAGTCATTAATGAGCACTTAGGCATCTACAGTATTGACACAGTGACCCATCCTCCTTCCCAGGTTATTTTCTGTATTGATTTTTTTCTATTGTGTATTTTCTTACACATGAGCTTTAGAGTGTGACAAAGCTCAGCAGTTCATGTAGGATTACCCCTTAAAGCACTATACAATTACTTTTTTTGTATAGTGCATCTTTTAATTTTGGTTTTAGACAAAAGTGGCCCTGTCTGGTTGGTGTAGATACCATAGACAGTTTCAACATCAATGTATATCAAAGAAACAAAGGCAAATAGTTAAATGGATTCATCCAGGGTGACACAGAAGGAGCTGTGTAACAGAAACAGTCCAAAGGCTCTGGATGCCTGGTTTCCAGGCTGAAGCATTTCACTCAATCAGCTCCAAGCAGAGCTGCTGTAGCACTGGGATAAACTGTAGCCTCATACCATATCTCAGATGCTGGGAAACATGTGGGACAGTGCAGGGATAGTGCAGAAGAGATCAGGTGAAGAACACAAATTGTGCAAAGAACCGAAGGCAGTCAGGTGCCAGAGCTGCAGGAGTTGAGAAGTGATGGAATACTGAGAGCTAAATATGTGCAGCAAAGTGCAAAGGGGGAGGCAGGGGCAGGCAACAGCCTACAGGCAGTCGAAGGGGAGCTGGAAGGAATCTTTAATGAAGGCAGAAATCATTCTGGGTGACTCAGAATATTGGTATTCACAAAGAGAATTGAGAACGGGCAAAAATAAATAAAGCTGAAAGCAAAACCCAAAGGCCAAATCCCTCTCAATAGCCAGAACACTGATATAATCTGAGCAACCAAACAACAGGTCCTTGTGAAAACCCCTCTCCAGCTACTTCCTGCACACCAGCCTCTCTCCCAGGCTGGGGAGGGCTGCAGGCAGCTCCCACTGCCCAGCCTGGGAGCTTTGCAGGCTGCTCTTGTGCTGACACCTTTTTTCTGCAAAATGCAGCCCTGGTGGTCCTCCCTCCACACCCCCAGCCCCTGGCTTTCCTGTGACATCTCAACTAGTGCATTGTGTAACCTCACAAACTTCCCTGAACAGCTCTGTGTGGCTTTCATTAGCTGCCAGCTTTTGTACATGACACAGGCACACACATCGGTCCCTGACAGACCCAAAGGCACAGTAGTTTTATTTATGGGTGGGTTTAATGCTAGCCAGCTTCAAGATCTTGCTGCCATCAGCCAAAAATGTCTGCAGGCAGCATTTAACTAAAACCCCAAGCTCTATAAGTTTTACAGTGAAGATTGGAAACCAGGCTAGTTTCAGTTTTATACTTTATACAAGTGTGATAACTTGTGTTCTTTCCTTTTCTTCATTTTAAACTTTTCATTGAAGAGTAGTCAAAGAAGTCATAGTTCTATATTTTGGAGCTGAGATCAGTAAGACTGAAGAACAGGAAAGACTTCCTGACAGTGAGGTCTATTAGCCAATGGAGCAGCCTCCCAAAGGAGGTGCTGGGAGCACAAGAAGTGCTTTAGCAGAGCTAAAGGCAGCATTAAGTGCTCCAAGTGCTGCAGGCAGCTGCACAGGATTGCCATGAGACACAGCAAGGACTCCTGCCATTAGCCTGCTAATGCACATCCTGGCCTGGCCAACGGCTAGTGGGAATACTCACTGACTTAAAAGGTCATTAACAAGAAAATATTAGAAGACAATTTTCTAATGACAGGGGCAGCCTCTGCAATGTGTCTTCCATTACAAAAGGTGATTATTAGTAGGGGGAAGAAACAGTTTTTGTTAGTATTTGTATTATGGCTCATTCATTAGGTCTTCCTTAAACTACCTAAAAGTAAAAACCACTAAATTGCTCAGATCCCCTTCGTGTCTAACTTGCCCAGCAGAAAACAGTCCTTCACCATCTCTTGCTAGTATTACCAAGGAAATAAAAAAGTACAAACTACCAATTACAAAGGTTTAAGACTGACAACACAGATCTATAATCTATTTACCTTGGAAAGCAAACCAAACCAAGACAATTGAAACACTACAATTCAGGCAAAACCAAGCCTTATAAACTTTTCCATGAGAAAGAACATAATTGGTGAGGGAAGGAAGATTAAACTATTTTCCAAAGGTTTTAGTGTCAGTACAAAATCCAGCACTTGAAATGCTTTCCTTACAATTTTCTGGTATCGCTCTCTGTGCAGCAGGAACCTTGTCTCAGTGGTTTAGCTGGTAACTTTCAAACACTTGTATTTAGACTTTCAATGTAACCTTAGTAGCAGATGTCTGGAATTTGATACTCACTTTAGTGTCCTGATCCATCAGGACACTAAAAATTGTAGAGGCAACCAGCCCATGGTCTATAGTAAGAGTAAGGCCTGTCCATGTATATGTTGATATTTCTATCACTCTGAAGAGATGGAAATCCTTTGGAGGGAGGACAGAGAGAGGGACAGGATTACTGTTTGGTTTTAAGAGCACACTCACCAGTGCAACACCAAAGCCTGCCTGCACTGTTGAATTTGACTTTCATCTCAATGGCAACATTTCTGTTCTTCAGAAAGATATGGGGTAGAAAGAGGGCAGAGTCATCTCAGCAGCTGATCCATTCTCCCATCTCCAAATCCATCATGGTGGGGTTCAACAGCTGTGCTCCAGGGAGCCTTCTGCCAGCCAGCACTAAGGAGGACATGGTACCTGTGAAGACCAATGACCTTGTGCCAGTTAAGTCTGTCAGGGAAAACTCCTGACGTGCCTCCACACTCAGCCCATGCTGGTCATTCCAGCTGCTGGAACAGTTGTGTGGAATTAGCTGCATCAACAGAAAACAATGGGGTAAAATATCTGTTGTCAGTGGCCTAGCTCGTGTTACCTGTGCTTGTCTGTAACCCAACAATTAGATCCATCGTTAGCAGCTTGGCATAATTATAACTTAGAACTTCTCCAAGCATAGACTTTGCTCAAGATTTTAAATGACTATAATTAATTAGGCAGAAATCCTGAAGTGTCTTCTCGTCCCTTGTTAGAATTATTTTTCCTTTCCCCACATTGACTCCAGAATGTGGTTTCATAAAGGAACTGGGCTGTCAATTAGAAGATTAAAAAAGAGGCATCTCTTTGTAGAGAAACACCTTTTATATCCTATATAAAGAGAAAGAGGGCTTCAGAATTTTTTAATCTTGACTAAGAGATGCCAAAAGGAGTATCATACTAACCTACACTTGTTTAGTCCCAGCCCTTATAGGAAAGATTTATTTCTTGCCTCTCATTTAAGAAGCTTTTTGCACCCTCCCCAAATTTCTGCTGTTATCAGAGATCTGGTATCAGGCAGCTGGGCCCCAGCCTGAACCAACTGCTTGGATCTTAATCAGTACAAAGCAAGCCACAGAATTACCGCCAGAAAAATGGCAACTTCTTAAAGGACACGGGAGGAAGGAAGGTGTCATCATGCAAAGAAACGCTTCCCCCTCGGCTTTCCAGTGGCCACCCCAAGGCGAAGACGCGAAGGGCAGGGCAGCACTCGCAGAGGGCTCTCTGGTGCAGATTGCGGCTCCCCCCGGCTCTCTGGTTCGCTGCGGCCGGAGGAAGGCGGGAGCCCTCTAGGGGCGGCACACGGAGCCCTGGAGGGATGCGGGCACCTGCTGAGCCATTCCCCTTCTCCCTGCCGAGCCCCTCCTGCCTTCCCCGGGCACAGGAGCGCTGTCCTGGCTCCTGCAAGGGCTCAGCACCTGAAGGTCCACACAGAAAATCAGGCTGGGTACAAGAAAGTCCCAGATTTTTCCTGGCAGTGCTTACCCTACAGCCCAGAATGTGATGTGGGAAGTCTCTCTTCTGTGGTTGGTTCAATCCTCCCAGGGAAAACAGAACATCACCGAAGTGCAGACTGCAGTTCTGGAGCTAGCCTGGCTCACCACAGCATAGCTGGAATATCTTCTTCTAGGCTATGCAAAAAGGACTTGGTTTTGCCTTACTGTGTGCCTCAAGCATACTGTGAACTCTCATAGAAAGTGAGCAGGTTTATCTTTGTGAAGGCTTGTTCAAAATAGTCCTTTCCAAGAGCTACTTCTATTTGAAGGCTAGGTAACAGCTGCAGCATTTAAACATTTAAATATTTTCTCATTCTAATGAGAACTTAAGATCCTTTCCAAACAGCTCAACATAACAACATGAGAACATGGCAAACTCAAACTTCAAAACATTTTGACTCCAGTAAAAAAAAAAAAAAACAAAACCAAACAACACCCAAAATAAAACAAAACACAAGCATCAAAAAGCATCTAACCAGATATTAAGAATTTACTGTAGTGCAACAAATAACATATTTTGTTAGTGATCCAAATCAGAAGAGTGCAAGAACAGCTTAACACTTTGAAAAAACCCATCAAGGTTGGTTTTTTTTATATATGAGACATTGACCATAAAAGTCCTGCAGTTACATGAGCAAAACTATGGTATCGGTTTGGTGAAACAGGTAAATACCCATTACAGTCTCTACATGTAATTTACAAACAACTTTCTGCATGACATATTCAAGGTTATGCTTGATTTCTTAAAAAAAATAATTAGAGACAATAAGATGAAAGCCTGTAATCTACATTAGTGCTACTTGAATAGCAAACTTGATCTAGATGCAGAAAATGTTTTATCTATCCCTCACCAAATGGCAGAGATGTGAAGTCTGCATTACTAGAAGAACCCATATTTCTTAAAGTTCTCCCAGTCTCTGAAGAAGCACTTCTGCTCCCTCCATTTCCCAGGTGGAAAGGACAGGCATTTCCAGGCTGTTGGCAGAGCCTTGGTTTTGGCTGGGATAGAGTTAATTTTCTTCCTAGTGGCTGGTACAGTGCTGTAGTTTAGATTCAGTGTAAGAATAATGTTGATAACACACTGATGCTGTAAGTTGTTGCTAAGCAGTGCTTACTCTAAATCAAGGACATCTCCGTTTTCCAGGCTCTGCCAGTGAGGAGGTGCACAAGCAGCTGGGAGGGAGCACAGCCAGAACAGCTGACCCAAACTGGCCAAAAGGCTGTCCCTTGACATTCACTTCCATAGGCTTATTGATTGTTTCTTGCTCAAACCCTTCAGTAACAGAGCCTGAAATGACTGGAATCCTGGAGCAGAAGGTTGGCTCTGAGCCCCATGTTGAACACATGGGTGGTGGGGATCTGTTGGATGAGAAGGAAAACAGTCACGAGTACAACAGCACTGCCAAGAATCAGCAATGCCTGGATTTCATCTCCTACTGTTCAAAAGGAGACTGCAAAGCCAATGTTGGGCACCAGCAAGGAGAAACAACAGTGATGTCCAGTCCTGTTCTCACCTGCAGCTGGAATGGGCTCTGACCCAGAGGAAGGCAGTGCCTTTGGGAAGGGAAGCACCAGGGATTCCCATGAGACACTGGAGTGACTTTGTTCAGCTCTGTGTTGTTATTGGCAAAGATCAGCTGTAGCTGCCTTTGGACTGTGGAGTTACCTGCTGATGGATTCCCACAGCTGCTTTTTACAAAACCACAGAAGAACAGCAGCAGTCAGCTGCTGCTTGTGCTCCCCGGTGAGCCCAGTGAATCACAGGCTGGATTTGCTGCTAAACCTAGTCAAGCAAATCCCCAGCCCACACTTTTCTAGGAATTTGCTGCTTTTTTAGAGATTATTACAAGTGAAGTTTCACCCCAGCAATTCTTCCTTTTAAAAGAATAAAATGAAAGCAAACAAAAAAAAAGGCGTTTAGAACCATGAAATGCGAGATATTTTCAAGAGACTTGAGATTTGATCTGAAGTAGGTTCAAGCATGCCCATAACATCTTGACCAGAACACACCTGATGATTCATTTGGTTATACTTATTTTTGTATTTCAAGAATACTTCATCTGCTTCCCTGTGATGCAGCATTCTGGGTCCTTGTAGAATTTTTTCTCTCTAGGATAAATACAAAAGCATTTAGACAAACTTCCTGAAAGATTGCATCTCTCAGATCCCCTTGTTAAAGCTTGCCTTTTGTCAAGTCTCCCATCTCTGTCCTGCTCTCCTTATATCTTCCTCTCATAAGGATATGAACACCTGCACTTCAGAAACAACCACACAGGTTAGCTCAGCTCCCAAGCCTGACTTGTATTTCAGGTTACCATTCCACTTCGAACTTTCTCTATGTTCTGTAGTAAATTAGCCCTAACATACTCTGAGGATTTGCTCTCCAGCCTCCCACTTCAGTGGTCAAAGACTTCTTTAACAAGTATTCAAGTAAATAAATTGTCACCATGTCTGGCTGCAACAGAGTCTTCCAGATCATTATCCTGTTACTGCAGGACACCAGCAGTACACCTCACTTAACCTGCACTGTCACTGTGGTCAGCTGGGAAAAAGAAGGAACAGATCAAATTAGAGGTACACAGTCCTGAAATAGTTTCAGTGACATTCATCTTTTCAAGTAAGCACATTGTAACCCCAAGGATTGCTTCCTTCTAGTGCTGCCACTGATCTCTTTTCCCAGAAAAGCCCTATGGAGGAAGGTAACATGGTGAGACAGGGTAACCACTCAAAGATGTGCACCATGACCTACATGAAAAAAGTTGCAACATGAGGCACCTGAAATATTAGAATGAGATAGATTTTAAGAAAAGAAACAAACAGTGCTTTGAGTCACTATACTTTATTAATACTTCAGAACCCTCAGATCCTACAGTGGCAAGTTCTTATCCCCACCTGTTTCCAATCACTGTTTTGAAACAACTTCTTGCAATATGCAAATAGATACATGAGGCACTGTGTGAATACAAAAGTGACAGTACAAAAAATTTCCAACAATTAAACCTCATGCAATACATACATATATAAAAAATATGGTAATGTAGCATAATACACACAAGCACTATTAGAACAATCCATGTAAATGAATGTACAATATGCATAGCATTTAATGATCAATGACAACAGGTTTTCAACTTGTGCATAAAACCAGTCAGCTTAAATAAGAGTTGTAAGAGACTAGATAACTGGTTAAGCCACAGCTTATGAAACCTGCTGTACTGCAGCTTTTCTGCTCAGGTCACAAGTGCAGATTAGCATATAAAATAAATAAGGACTATGATTCTACAAAACTTGGCTAACAGCTCCTATTTCAAAGTCACTGGCCCTCTTACTTCCATTCAAGGTTCAGCCAACACAGTGGCAAGAAATGTGCCTAAAGCAACAGCTCTGCTCTTGTACTGTTTTAATACTGATAAGAAGATATATTTTAGGTCAGCAGGAGTAGTTACAGTGGTCTGACTTACCCCTCCTCACGCACGGGCATTACAGGACGGGGCAGGCACTGAGTGAGAGGTGGCTGAGCTGGGGCTGTGCTGCTGCTCCCACCCTGCTCAGCTGGGCTGGGACAGAGCTGGGGAGGGCAAGGAAGGCAGAAAGCTTTTCCCCCCACTCTCAACAGTGCAAATGTTTGAAAACGCAAACTATCTGCAGGAATAAGGAAAGACAAGAACATTTCTGAACTTCTGTAATCAGGGTGAGAGCTATTGTTACCTGAAATAAGCTTAAGTATTCCTATGAAGTAAAATACAAATCTCAGAATTTTCTTCTTACATATCCAATACTGGTCCATGCCAAAGCAACAGTTATTGTAGTCTCTTATCTTCCTAGCTGACATGGTTCTTTTTACACTCTTGGTGTTGCAGGCCTCCAAAAATCGGACCAAATTCACTATGGACACAAATGAAGTGAAAATTACAAAATGGCAACTAAACTGACTTAACAACCAACAGATTTTATAGCCTAAAAAGCAGCATTTTGGGGAGGGAGAGGGTAACAATGTAAAAGGACATAAAAGATAGAAGAAAAGAAAATTGGGAATAAAATAGGAAGGATACAGAGCAGAACTGACTTGCAGAAGAGGAAGTTCAAAGTAATTGAAGTAATTAAGTTAAAGGAACTTAAAAACTTTATACTGGCCTTTTTTTGTCAGTATAAAGTTTTGACCCCAAATTAAAGAAAAATCTTGCTATTATTAAATACACTAAATAAAAAAAAAAAGTGGAGAAAGACAAAGAAAGCAGCATTAATCATGCAATATTCAGCCAAATGTCTTTTCAGAAAGGTTTCACCCTGGTTTCCTAGCTATTATCTCTTTATCCTTGGACATCCAAAAAGAAGCATCATTGCTTAGATAAAAGGATAAATAGCTCCTGGCAGGGATCATGGTCACACATTCCAGCTCCATTTGCCAAAGCAACAAACCTTTTACCTGCCTAATGTATGGCCTTGAAAGGGATAAATAACTTCAAGGAGTGATCCACTTGGTCAGGAAAGACCAATGACATTCCCTTGCATGGAACTCCAAAACCATTTAATCAGTAATAATTTCAGTATTTGATATATTAATATCTCCTGGAAATTAGCAATCAGGCTTAAGAGTTGAGTGAAAATTCAATAATCAGGATCTAGCATGTCACAAAGACCAGATATATTTAAGTTTCTAAGGAACTGGATGTATCTTGTCTCTTCAGCTAAAAGGCACATAATAAGACATAAAACTCTGACTGAGAGGAGTTTGTTATCAAAATAAAACAGACATTACAACAAAGCCAAATTCATTTGCTTGAAACAGTGGTTTTCAGCTGACAGTGCACTGCCAGCTCTTCTAGGCTGCTTTTTTTTAATTCTATTGTTTGCATTCCAAGAAGCTTGAAAACATTTCTTTTCCTATTGATCTTGTCCTCTCCTACTTAACAAAAGCTGCATCTTGCTAAATTTTATGTGGCCAACACAGCTGTCCCTTGTTTATTTTTGTGTGCATGAGCAGCAGGATGTGCAGCGTGGAACATGCATTAAACCAGGGACACTGAAGAGTGTTCAGGTCTGATGGGTCTCACCAAAATAAAGGTTTATGTGATTGTTTGGAAGATTTTGGTTTCCTGTTCCATGCAGAGATAAGGTTATCTGTCACAAGATCCTACCAGCTCATTTTAAGGCATTACTTGTACAAGTGTCTACGACAGATACATGTTCAGAAGTGCAGTCACTCCTTCAAGTCTCATTTGCTTAGTTTTCAGCTGACATGAATTATATAAATAAAAATAACTTGAAATTAAATAAAATCTAACCAAAACACATGCAGAAAGTGTCTGGCTTAGCTCTTAAGAGCTGTCAATGCTACAAAACAAATACTCCACAGGACTGGCTGGTTGAGCGGCTTGATTTAGTAACAGAGAAAGGACCAGCCTCTTGGTTTTGATGCTGTTTGAAAGGTTTTGATGAGCTTGGCAAAAACCCCCCTGGTACTACTCAAATGCAACCAGAGCTGCTATAAATTTGTGCTTAGGGAGAGTACATAACTTCATGTAGATTGGGCAGTTTCACATTCATTTGAAAGCTCATTTTTCTCCTTCCCCAATCCTTCCTGGGTGGCATTTTGTTCATCAGAAGAGTTTGCTCCTCAAAAAGGGGCAATGAACCATTTTTTCCTAGTAGGAATCTGTCTAAAGGCACAGGCCCAATTGCAAAAGGGACAGTAACAGAACTAAGCAGGGACATTTAATTCAGGCTTAACCAGAGCTAAATTATACATGAATCATCTGCAATCTGCTCTGTTGTGGCTGACATCCCCCTACCTGCTCCCTAAAGCATTTGCTTGATACTCCAGTACTGCAAGACTAGAAACACAATGGCTGGTGCTGCACATCCAGTACCTGCATCCACAAGAACACAAAGAGTTCAATCAACAGAGTCAAATCTGCACTAAGAGTAGAGCTGCAATATTAACTTAGACTTTACTGTCTATGCCCTTTATAGATGGAGGCTGTTTGCTGGGTACCTTTTGTGCAAGGCCATTTACAAATACCAATTACAAAAGTTCTTAGCCACTTGTTTTGGAAACACCTTTTTTAGGTTAGTTTTTAGGTGTTGGTATCTTGGGGTTTTTTTCACCTGGGAGGGAAGCTTCAACCCCAAATAACTGATTTAAGTGATCAACTGAACACAGGTTTTCCAGTGCTGACAGCCAAGTTATCTCCAGAATTCAGAAAACAAGAGAAGCACTTTTCCCAATATCCAACAAGAAAGTGGAAATTTTAGTGCCTCCTCATGACAGAAGGTTAATGGCACTGGAAATGCATTTTAAAAGAGCAGTATCACATCTGACTTTGAATGGAGATAAGTGTCTATTAAATGCTATTAAAGTCAGCACAGTGATTAACAGCACTCAGCTGCCAGCACTGCTGTAACCACTCGGTGCCCAATTACTCATCCTGCAGGGCTCACCAGCCCCTCCACTCATGAACACTCCAGGTTTACTCACAGCAGCATTGCACAGTGACCAGGAACTGCAGAGGCTGGCTGCTCCCTCTGAGCACAGAAGGATGTTTGGAAAAATCCATTTAGGAGCATTAGCTGCCATGGTGGTGTTGAGGGGTCACACAAAGTCACCTTGGACACTTTAGTGCTATTCCTTCTCTGGCTGCTTGAAGACAAGAGTTAGCACAGCTGAGCTCTGCCTTTTTAATGGGTGTGTTTCCAATTCTTTCAAGCACTGGTATTTCACTCTAAAGAACTGACATTTGTAGCTCTATTTTCCAGCCCACTTCCTTTTTAAAATAGGCATTAATAATACTTAAATGCATTCCTGTCTCTCTCTTTCACTCCTCCATCACTCAGAGGGTGGATTTTACTTAATCTCTCTCTGTTCTAAGAATTTTCTTGCTTTTCTATCATCCGTATTCTCAGGGAAAAAAAAAGCCAAAATGAACCCCCCAAACAAATGTTATTTGTAAAACTTTCATCTTGCCTCTGTCAGACCCAGAATATTCACTGTCTTAGGTGTGTGGCTTGGAAGGAGAGGATGGGGAAAGGAAGGGAAGGTAGAAGCATGAACTACCCACAAGCAAGAGAGATGTTGGATACCCACTAAGCAGAAGAACTGAAGTCAGTTTCCAGCCAAACAACAAAAGAATTTAAGTGTGCTCTGTTTTAAAATTTCAGGCTCCTCTAAAGAACAATTTTTCTTCTACTGAGTGCTAAAATGCACTCACCAGACATTCATTTGGAGTCTAGTAAAATGTGAAAATTATTGAACATTTGTCTTGAATAATTCAGCAAATTTCTACAGCTCAACCCCAAACTGTATTTGGGGTTTTCCTGTAGATGACACATCAGGAATCACTTATTCTAGCTATGGGATACAAACTGCCTTTTTTGACCCATTACAATTTCTGTTGACCTGACCAGACTTTATAAAACTAGTAAGAAGTATCTGAAAATGAGAGAAATACTTTTAATCCATGCTGTAATCTCTCTGACTTCTCAAAGACTGTTCCTATTCATTTACATCTCAAAGAAATGAAGCACTATGTCATTCAGAATGAATGTAAATGTAAGGGAACAGCTTCTAAGAATGCAGAATTTCTTCCCTAGAGCATTGCTTGAGAATTAGATTTTATTATTGCCACAGACAGCTTTCTAAAGGCTTACTTCACTTAGCTCCCATAGAACAGAAATTATCAAATTTGAAACAAAAAACTATATTCTCACATAGCTGCAAGCATCCATCAAAGACTTAGGACTTTTTTTCCTCTGTAATGCAAATCTGCCCAGAAAAGGTTGAAAAAAATAACCATTACAAAGTTTGGCTTGTTCAATCCCTTTCACCTTTGAGGAAATTTGGCAAATTTCAGAAACTAAACCAATATAATGAACTTACCAATATTTCACACCTTCTTTCATAAATACAATAATTTCCTCCTCCCCTGATAACCCTTAGATAGCAATCAATTCTGCATGTTTCTTACTCTATTAATAATAGAACTGTTTCTAAGACACCAAGAGGCACTAGTGGTCATCAGGATTTAGCATGGAATTGAATATCTGGCTAGAAACCAGACAGAGGAGTTGATAAATCCAAGGAGATGACTGAACAAGCCCAAGGGCTTCCTTAACTGAAGAAGGTTCACTACAAACACTGATGCCCACCCCATCAGGCTGCCAGAATGGAAATCCTTCCCCACACATTTTAAGACACCAAAATGTAGGGTGGAAAACTGCTTACAGCCTTCCCAGCAGAAAAGCCCCTGTGCCAAAACAAGGCAGTTGCTGTCTGAGCTGCTGTGTGGTGAGAGAGGAGGTCACTGAGGAGCTCCTACATTAAAAACTGGAGGATCATCCTCAGGAATTCCAGCAAAAGCCTTGGGGTCACTGCACCATCCCACATCAGCAAAGGATCCAGAGACTGGGGACAGACAGTGCTGCTCTGTTCTTCCTCTGAGCCACCCAGCTCTTCTGCCTCAGCTTCCTCCCCAAGCAGCACTAATGCTCACCATATTTTAACCAGTAGGACTGACATATTGCAATGACATGTGCTTCTAAATGTGGCATACAATCTTGCTGCCAGATGCAAAGCACTTCTTGTTTAGACACTGAAGTTAATAACAAATTTACCATTGAGCCTTCTGATCTTGTTGAGTCCTGCTAGCCAGGCAAGACAAAACACAACCACAGGCTCTAGCACGTCCTGAATGGAGCAGTTGTGCAAACACCCTCACATATTCATTACACTTCTTTCATCCTCTGAGCTTCACAGTTCTTAGAAAGTTATTCTGACCCAAAAGGTTCATGAAGCGTGGCCAAATTAACCTTCCATGAGGAAAAAGAATTGTTACTAAACTGTTTCTAGTTTGTGTTACTAAATTTTTTGTGAAGGCCAGAAGTTACTTTTTAAATGAAATAATTACTCAGATGGTTACTTTATGATTAAACCTCTAGAGCATTCTGCACAGGGCAGGGAGTAAGTCACAGTGAAGCTTTTACTACAAACCACAAGATTTGGCAACAATGAAAGATGTTTTCTTGAGACCTAGTTACCACAAAAATAATTCACAAACTGAAACATTTAAGTGCATCAATGAAAACAAAAAGTCACATTTCAAAAATTAGGAACTGGCTCACCAGACTGCGATAGGCAGCCAGAAATCCTTGGGTGAAATATTTAAGGCACTTGAGGGTAGTCAGTTTTTTTTTACACCAGGTAATAAAGACAGAGCCACTTGAAAATTCCAGTTTAAATAAAAACCACAACAAAAAAAAGTAACACTGCAAAACATTCCTCAAATGTAAAGTTCAGAAAATTAACAAATAAACACTTAGAAGAAAAATAAATTCATCCTTTGTTATAGTACACAAAATAGTGGCAGGAAGAGGACATTTACCTGCTTGAGCACACAAACTGTAAAGATCTCTCTCAAATACCACCAGAGGGGTCTCTTCAGGTTGCCAAATAGCCAATAACCATATTTGTTAGGGAGAAATAATTCAGTGCAGTTAAATATCAGATTCCAGTTTATAAACCAGAGCATCCCAGAAAGCAGTTGATTTTCTATCATTTTCCCTGGGATAGTTCTAGCTAGTTCTGCTTTTCTGGAGCATCCAGTTTTATTTTCTCCTCTCCTTACACACAAATGTTCAATGTTTCTGTTTGAATAAAGAGGCCACATCACTCTTGTACTATCTTTGGTACAAACCAAAAGCACCTTACACAGCACACTGGTGTCAGCCAGTCCCTGCACCCCAAGTCTGTTCCTACAGAACACACACAGGAAAAAGCTTTTCTGTGGTGGGGACAGCTTCTCCCCTCCACCTTCCAAAGTAACATCACAGTTAAGTACAACATACAGTGCTCTTTCAAAGCACTAATTCAAATTTTCACCCGGAATTCATGAAATGCATATTCTCATCCATTAGCTTATACCTACTGTGGTTTCTTACCCTTCCAGGACAGAGGGCTATGACCAACAGCCCTGGGACACACTTCAGTGTCTGCTCCCAGAGATGACACAGCTGTACAAATCTCCACGTCCGCTCAGTGTTTTTTGAGGGGAGGGGGGAGAAAAGGGAGAAGGGAAAGACAAATGGGAACTCAGTAAAAGGGGTCTTGCCTTTCTGTTCCACATTTGTCCATTTGTCTTTTTTCCTGATACATTGTGCCCTCTGCATTAGAGGCTTCTTCACTGGAAAGCAGTTCCTTACATGAACTTACTTGAACCTTCTGGACTAAACAGCCTCTGTCACTGTGCAGCTGCTGCCTCACAGCTGAGGAAGGTAAAGGGTGAGCCCTGAGCATCCTCATCAGCCCCAGGGCTCTTGGAGTCTCTGACACAGTCTGCCAGGATGTCCTGGGGATCCCTCAAGAAGACCACCAGCACAGTGATGTTGTCACTGGATCCATTCTCCTTGGCAGCAGCCACCAGTCTCTCTGCTGCTTTGAGCCCCACTCCTTTGGTCTGCATCAAATGATCCAGCACCAAGTCTACAACCTCAGGGGGCTTGATGGCATCAAAGAACCCATCACAGGCAAGGAGCAGGTAATCTTCTGAGCCAGTCAGCTCAAAGGAATCTCCATCTGCATCACCAGAGACATAGGGCTTCTGGCAGATGTCACCTGAGACAAACACACAAAGCAAAGGCTTGATTACTTCAGTTGTAAACAGGTACTTCTTTACCCACCAATTGCTTTCACCATCCTCAAGGATGGCCAGATCCTGTTCCAGAGGTACCTGATGCAGGATGACAGTAGTTAAAAGCCACGGAATAAGCACAAAGACTTTTGTTTCTTTAAGGATGCTTGGAACCTACATAAATCCGGTGGGTTTCTAAAGAGTTACTTTTAATTAAAAATGAAAAGCAACCCCTCAGAAAGTAAAAATTAAAGTAACTCCTTAACCCCCCCCACTAATTTTGCAGGGAAAATAAGGAATTTTTTCCTAAGTTTTTTCTCTCAGAAATATATTTGTGTGAGGAGATAGTCAGGCATTCATTTTGCAGATGTGCCTCCTGCACAGCCTTCAGAATGCCATGAAAATAAAATTTTTCTCAGCTATCCAGATATACATGACAATGTCCTAAGAATCTGCTCATTGTGTTTAGTTTATCAGTTGTGTATGGGCATACTTACCAAACATGAGTTGCCACTGGTCCGAGTAGCATTATACAAATTCCACACTAATCTGCTCCCACTCATACATTACATTTATCTACTGTATTGCTCAGGGTTTTTTTGTCTTTCTGCCATAACTGGCAATTAGCAAAGTAAGCTTGTTTAATAAGATTGTGAGAACACTACAATTAAAATGCCCTAAATTGCTGGATATTGAAGGAGAATGCAGTGATTTGACCTAAGCAGAAAGATCCACAGTCAGGAGAAAGATACATTCATATTAAAGTGGACAAAACCCCCTCACAATTCAGACATTTGAGCACATAAAAAAGTCTAGACAAACATTTATTGCTTCCTCCACTTTTACAAATTTAATGCTGCATATTTGTTAAACTACTATAAAACATTACAGTACTTTAGGCATTTATAGGAAGCAAGATCTTAGTAGTAGGAGAAAAAATAGGACTATCATGGCTAGTACGTAAAATAAACCAATATTTTATTCTCATGGTAAAACCAGTATGCTGATGTAGCTGCAAGCCATGTGAGTCTTTGCCTTATGGAAAAGACAGTAAGTAGTTTACTATTTGTTTGATGCTGAACAAGACACCATTTACAGTAAACACAGTCTCAGGTGCTGTGTTTCCATCAAATTGGATCCAAAGTTTACAGATTTTAATGGTTTATCTCACCAATTGCTCTGGAAACAGCCAAGGTACCATTAACCCGCCAGCAGTCCATGTAGGTTACACAGCCACCCAGAGTCTCAATCCTTGCTCTCTCATCCTGAAAAACAGTGGAATACATTTTGTTTGCTGCTCCAGCTTCTGTATTTCTACAATGAATATAGCAAACACACATATCAGAATCTAGCACAGAAACAGGCACATAGGATTACTGGAAACAAGCCACTGCTTTCCATCCCTGCTACGGCTTGTCCATAAAAAAGTAGAATTCTCAAGTTTCTGTATCATCATATGCTTTCTCATATGGATGAGTAAATTTTCCTGCCACTTCTTCCCATTCCATACAGCAGTTGGGTGAATATATAAATGTTCAGAATGAAATACACAATTACTAAGCTAAGTAACAATTGTCTTTGCATTGGTATTCCTTTAACTACTCAGTTGTTACAAATATTCATGCAGTGAAGGCAAAGGGTCATGCAATGCTAGCTAAACTTGCAAAGTCTCCATCCAATTTCATGGAATAAAATATCTGGCTATGAAAATAGATTAGAAATACAATACACTTTAAGCCAGTTAGGCCAATAGATTTGCATTAGCTTTTCAATTACAGTACTACATATAATGGAAGATTTGCATTATGCTAACATGCATGCTATATTTTGAATTGCTATTAATCTCAAATTACTAACAGGCAGATTTAAATTCACACACAAAAAGCCTTTGAAAGTCTTTAATTACTGCAAATTTTGAATAGTCTAAGCAGGAACTGAAGTCAGGACTATCAGTACCATTCATTGGTACTTCCAAGCACGTAAGGTGTAAGGATCATCTTGTCAAGACACAGGAGTGAACACAAAACAAGAAATTGTTAATTCCATGCATCCTAACATACAGGATATATGATTATGTAAAGCACCAATCACTTAAAAAGATTTCAGGAGAGAATCTGACATCACACACTTAAGAGGAAAAAACAAGTCAGACTTACTTCTCTTTCTGGTTTGTGAGGTTCCATTAAAGTCACAGCTTTCCCTTGCTGCACCAGCATCACCTGAGAGTCCCCCAGCCATGCTATGTGCAGTTTGTTCCCTACAATCAATGCAGACACTCCTGTTGTGCCACTCCGCAGCTTCTACAGAAGGAAAACAGACGTGCCAGGTGAATATTCAACAGCCCTACTGGGATATATGGCAATATTGAAAACTTAGCTTTGATCACACTAAATGCAGCACATTAGACCTGCTAATCCTAATTCAGGTACTTGAAAAAAAGGGTACAAGATCGTAGAGAGATGTGAAATAAACTATTTATAAATTTATTTTTTAATATGCAGATGATAAATTTTGTCTCATGTTCTTCCTTCTCTTGCTATTAATTCCAAAACTGATCTAGGAGATTAAGAGCTCTGTTGTTTAAAACAGACACGCAGAAAAGCAAAAGGATCAGAATTTCAGTAGAATGAACACTTCACAAACAAACACATCTCTACAATCCCTTTCATATTCTCCACCCCAGCAACTACAGATACCTTGCTCCAACACAGATCTCCTTATCCTTGGGTATTTAAATGAGAATGCAAACAAAGGAAAAACATCTAACTGTCCTAGATTCCCTGAAAAGATGAGTGAGAGTCAGACCTTATGAAATGCTGGTCTCTCTTTCGTACCTCACAGACAGAAATAAAGATATTGACAATGAGTACTTGCACAGCAGTGCCATAATAAGAGTTCTCAAACAGTGTAATGTAGTTTTGAAGACAGAATGTTCATCGGACCAACCAAATTCAAAGTTTAATCAATAAGTTTAACGAACTGAGGAGTCTGATTTAAATCAGAGAACACATTTTTCACTTACAATCACCACTGACACTAATAGTAGGACAAGAAGAAGGAAGATAACAACCATATTATCAGGAAGAAAGAAATCTCTTTTCCAGGTAAGAGGTAAGACAGCAGAACATGTAGAGGCTGCCTGGTTTAGACAAGGAGGCACCAGTATTTTCTCAAATAATTGATATGTCAGAATCATTTAAATCACTTTAGCACTTCTTTTCAATTACTCATCTTGAACTCCCAAGCACTGGTTTTCCTCAAAGTAAGAAATAATTTGATCAAACAAAATCTTTACATGTAGCATAATTTCATAAAGAAGCCAGTGATTGAAATAAACTGTACTGTCAGAATTTTCTGGATAATACCACATTGTCCAACAGTTCTCAGTGTTATTTAAAAACAATGGAACTAATCTCTACCCACTCACCTCTCTTTTGGCTTTGAAAAGAAACATTTCATCTGTCTTCTGGAAAGAGCATTTCAAGGCTTCACCTGGATTCTTAACAATCTCTTCATGTAACCCAACGTTGACATGTAAGTGTGTTGCTGAGTAATTGGCAGCATCCACTCCACCATGGCCATCGAACACCGCAAAGTAAGCACGATCAACATCATCCTTTGGCAGGGACAGAGAGAGGAAGACATTCATGGTCAAAACCAAAATAGCTCAGACTGCTACCAACAAGCAAAGATTCTTTATTCTGGGCTTTCTTCTGTATAAATGACAATTTAAATCCATTTATACAGGTACAAAATGGATAAGATGGGTACTTTGCAGGCCAATTACTTTTCTTTGTTTGCTGTCAGTCACTTAATGTCCTTAAGAATAACCTGGCACTGAAGCAGCAGACTGCTGCTTATATAGTCCTGCAGCAGTTTCATGAACTGCACTTGTACAACTGCTGTTCTCCAGATCACAGAATGGTTTGGGTTGGAAGGGCCTTACAGACCATCTAATTCCAGCCCCTCTGCCATGGGAAGGGACACCTTCTACTAGACCAGGTTGCTCCAAGTCCCTCTCCTGTAGCCCCTCTAAGCACTGGAAGTTGCTGTAAGGCATCCCCAGAGCCTTCACTTCTCCAGTCTGAACCACCTCAGCTCTCAGACTGTCTCCATAGCAGAGGTGCTCCAGCCCTCTCAGTATCTTTGTGGCCTCCTCTGGACTCACTCCAGCAGATCCTTCTCATTTTTGTGTAGTGAGCCCCAGAGCTGGGCACAGCTCTGCAGGTGGGGTCTCACCAGAGCAGGGTAGAGGGGCAGGTTCCCCTCCTTCAGCCTGCTGCCTTCCCTGCTTTTGATGCAGCCCAGGACATATTTGGCTTTCTGGGCTGCAGGCACACATCACTGACTTTGAGCTTCTCATCAACAAACACCCCCAAGTCCTGCTCCTCAGGGCTGCTCTCAATCCATATAGAAGTTGTGTCAGTCACAAGCACATTGTAACTCCAGCAACATCACACTAGGTGAACTTCCCATCTTCCTATATCATAACTTATGACATGAATCCCAAAGTCACAAGATGCTCCCTGCATCACTGTTTATCAGGGCAGTAGCTGGCCCCCAGCAATCTGAGTCACCAAGTCCTTGCTCCAATGCAGACATGACAAATAACTTATGGCAACAAATTCACAGATCATCCATCACCACCAGGGCCCTGTGCTTACAGCACTGCTGCAAAGCTGCCCAGCCATCCCCCCTGGTGTGTCCAGACTCACTGAGAGGCCGAAGAGCTGGTTGAACTCGGGCAGCAGCACGTGGCGATCCTCCATCTTGCGGCGCGCGTTGCGGATGGCGTGGATGGACACGAGCAGGAAGCGCGCCAGGGGCCGCAGCGGCGGCAGCTGCCTCTGCCACTCGCAGCACACGTCCTGCAGCTTGTTAAAAAAGCAGCGCTGCAGCGACTCCCCGTCCAGCACTGCCAGCACAGAGGCAAAACTGTGAGTGCTCTGGCCCACCTTCCTACACCACTGCATCTTTTGGCCTGTCTTCCCTTCAAGTTTCTTTCCCTATCCAGCACCCTGCCTTTACAGGCTCTGCAAGAATTAAAATGAGGTCCTGAGAATAATGTGGAGAGAAAGTTGCAATGGCAAATAGTGTAAAATTAAGAATAACAGCAGCTTCTTTACTTGCTAGTTATTTTTGAAAATAGAGCTTTATCAAGCAGGTGATTACATTACAAAAATCATAACAAAAACCCCCAAAAAAATCAGTCTACTATATTAGACATAAATGTTATTATTACGTAAGTAAAATCAGTAAGATAAAGTGGTAGGAGTTCGTACATACTGAAAAATAAAAAGGAATCATCAAGTGGGCAGAAAAACCTTCAAGATGACATTGTTGTTGTCTTGGACACAAGGGCTGAAAAAGCACTGGCCTGGCTTTGGGTCAGGTTATGTCCTACTGAACCACTTCCACTGAAACAACAAGGAAGTCTGAAAATGTTTGCTGAGGTCAATAGCTCAACTCACAGTTGAGCTGAACAGATTAGAATTTTAAGCTGTTTTCTTTATCTTTTTAAATACTCATGGTTGTAGGAGCTGCAGGGACAGAACACTTCCGCTACTCTCCAGCTTTGTCATTACAGAGCAGAACTGTAAACACCCATTGGGCATAGTGTGAAAAGCTCCAGCCAGACACTCAAATCCTTTTCTGGACAGATCCCAAAGATCAATTAATCCAAACTCGCTCATCAGATGAATGGCTTGGTGCTTGGCATTGTGTCTAGCTTTGCAACACAGTATCCCTCCAAACAGGTAACAATTGAAATTTTTGTTCTTCGAATAGGAAACCTGCCTCAATGGTAAATCAACTAACTTCAAAATGCACAGAAAAGAACATTTATAGAACAAAAATAATTTGCTAGTCACTACTGTATACTCTAAAGGCCTGCAGTGCATGAACTGTCTTTCCTATATCTATTTTATCCTGACTCCTGCTAACACTGCTAGCATTAACACTTCCTCAGAATTCCTTTTTGTAACTCCTGGTTCTCAAGCTTTTTTTTTTCTTCAGCAACAGTAGCTGGCCAGCTTCAGATGCATCTCTGGGCCTGGAGAATTGAAAGCTAAATTTAAACACACATATTTGATGAGCAGCCACTACATACTAACCAAAATTACTTTTGATTTGCTTAATATGTAGGTGTTAATGGACAAGCTATAAAAACCTTTAGATATTAAATCATCCCAAACACAAAATAACTAAACAGGACAGCATCTCTGACAGCCTTGCCTACAGCTGTTAGTTTATATTTCTAAATGTCTAGACTAATACTGACCAGAAGACACATATTGCTGTTTAAATATTAAGCTTGTGACATCTGACAAAGAATTTAGTATCTTAACAGCAGAAATGCTTCTGCAGTGTACCACAAACAGTGGCACTCACACGTGCACACATTTCCCCCCCCATTGCTTTTATATAATCACTTCTCTTTCATTCCAAGAACGCTTTTTTTGGCAGATTTATCACTGCAGTGCAGGAAGAGAGGCCATACTGTGCTGTAGCATGAGGCACAGCTTTCCTTCTAGTTGTACAGTTCAAGTGATGTAATAGCAATTACAAGATAGGGGAAAACAAGTACATGCAAGGGGGCAGAAAAATGAACATTTTTAAGGTAGCTGTTCCTTGCTGAAATTGGGCAGCTCAAGTACCTGAACAATGAGCCAATTTCCATCCTGTTTGATAAGGGAATGAATGGTCAGTAGAGATTTGATCTAAATGGCAATGATGACAAGAACGAAGAAAAAAAATAGACAAGAATATGTAAAATGGAAATTAAAGAAGGTTTCAACCATCAGAACAGGGAGGGCTCTGGGGCACTTGTCAACAAGGAATAGTGAGAGAGAATGTGAACTAGTTCAACACAAAATTCATCCAAGGATTTTCCAACTTTGCCTGCACTATCTTAAAAGTAGACTCCAGTCCTATCTTTATGGCCTTCAGAGCAAAACAGCAGTCTGAACGTTCTGCAAATGTCCCCAACATATAGTAACAGAGACACCAGATGCTTGTAGCCAAGAACACGTCCATTCCTATCAAGTTCTTCATTAGTCCTTGTTCCTAAACATTATTTCTTTATTATTCAGATAGGGTTCATTTTGGTTTGTGGGCCCAAGATTTACATAAGACACAGAACTACAGACTACAGTCCTAGGCTCACAAATGTATAGCAGCTCATGCCCTATATTACTGCCATAGTTCACCTCAAAGATGATTACACGGGAGTCAATGAAGAGTCTGCAGCACAGTGACTGCAGGGTGCTCTGATAACAGTTTCCAACTGCTTTGTGCAAACCTACATAATTATCCTAGGTGAGTTACAATATGCTGCTTCTGACTTTCCTGTAGAGGCTGCAGTGACCTGGTCACACCAAATTCATTTTGCCAGCCCCCCCTCAAGGCAGAATCCTGCCCCAGACCAGGGTAGCTGCAGTGAGTGAAGGCCACAAGCATTAGGGCAAGGGATGACATAATCAGGGTGCAGCACGACTTAATTAACTGAGTTCCCCCTCCTGCCGCTTCAGACTTGGACATGAATGCTGAAAGAGACTTCTGGGAGTGTCATGTCCTGGCCACTGCACTGCTCTGTTTGGGACACACTGAACTGCCTTTCAATCCATCCCAGGGAAATGCAAGGGTGAGTATTTCCTCTTACAGAACAGACTGGTTTGCCTAAGACATCTCTTCTCCATTTCTATCTTCTACTGTGCCTGCATCCTGCTCTGTTTAAATTCTTGGCACTGGGACTAAAGGTTTGGTGAAGTCTAACGTTAAACACTTCGGTACGTAAATGCAGTAGGGCCATCTGTTACACAAGGCACAAACCCAATACTCAGTCACCAAGGTCTGTTCTCTCTCCAGTTCACTCAGGAAAAAATGCAGGCATCAGGTAGAAGACATGCAAAGCTCTTCTTCCCTCAGTATCTCACTTTTACAGGGGAGAGTGGGAAGAAAAGAAGCTATTGATAAAGACACAAACTATCGAGCAACTTGCCAAGAGAAAGATCTGGAGTTTCAGGATATTTAAGATATGGAGGAGCCAGAATCTGGCTGCCAAGACAAAAGCAAGATGGTTTATTATGGATGGATTGAAGGTGTTGGTCTGACTCTACAACAACTGTGGTGATGGCAATATCAAAGTATGGGAATAATAAGGTTACTCTGCCAAAGGGCAAAGGACAAACTCTTCCCTTTCAGAAAGCCAATGCACAGCACCAGTCAGGGCTCCAGACACTGTTTGCATGCTGCCCACAAAACCAGCACAGCTTCCCTTCATCCCACAGGTACACAGCAAAAGCAAAAGAAGTTCCATTCACTGCTGCTTGCCAGGCAGCCTAACCAAACAAATCTGGGAAACATTTCAAAACACTAAACTCTTCTGAAAGACAGCCTCTGGAAAAACCACAGACAGAAAAGTATACTTACAGGTGAACCTTTCCTCATCTCCTTCTCCCTCTGTTTCCACATTTTGTAGCTTAAATTCAGTCAAGTCTTTTTGGAGAACTTCATCAACTGCAGCATGGATCAATGATGCTGCAAGAAGTGGTGAAACATCTCTGCTGGTAAGAAAAGGAAGGGAAAGCAAAACAGACTCCATTAGTTTAAACTGAGCTACAACTTCGCAGTGTATGGCTGGTGACCTCAGACTTAGAAACCATTACACACAATAATACAAACTTCATTAGTAAACTAGTAAAGCAAACCATATGTTCAATATTTATTCACACTAATCTTTAGTAAGATCCTCAGTTAGACAACTGCCTTCTCAAGAATGTAAAGAGGAAGAAGTGTATGAATCATATTTTCAAACTGTTGCCTCACACTCCAGTCACAGATGGTACCTCTTTCTCTTGAGCTATCAGATGGGAACTGCTACCTTCAATTCCACGCTCTGAACACACACATTTTGTTTCTACTCACTACACAGCATTTCTTGCTTGCAGTCAACTATCTCACCACAGACAGCATCAAGATCTCAGAATTGTGGTAGATGCAAATCTCTAAAAAAGTTACTTGGAACTCTCCTTCCCTTCACAAGAAAAGTCATGCTTAATGCTATCCTACAGCCCTTATCATTCAGTTTATTCTGACTGGAAGTTTTCCAAAGAAACCACCCAGGCCAAGAGCTGACACTGGAGACTTGGATGAGAAGAGGCTCCAAGACTTGTGATTTAGACAAAGCTTTTAGGTAGGCATCTAAAACACAATAATGCTACACAGTATGCTCGCCATCTCCTGCTCACTCAATGCTTTATTCAGGCCACATGATTTATAAATGCACACACTTGCTATGATGTTTTTGAAAAGGAGGCTACTATAAAATAACTCCTATATTCACTACAGTCTCATGGCAAACACTAACTACACTACACATAGAAAACACATTCCAGCCATTTTCTATGAGCACGATGAAGAATAAGCATCAACATCCACAAAAAGCCACTTTATCCATTGTTCATGGAACGTTTGATTCCCACAAGGTGTTGAATTACCCAAGCAAAGCAAATACCACATTAAGGTGCAAGTCAAGGACAAGACTTTGTTTTCCCAGGAAACATTTAGAAAGTTCTGCATGGAACTGGTTTGCTGGGGAGTATGAAATGGTGGAAGCGTTTGGTCTGTGGTGTTGCTCAGCAATGAGTGGTTTGTGTGCACAGAAGGGCAGGGAGGGGAAGGCCGCGGGGTTTTAGATCCCAGGGACAACAAGCTGAAATGCATTTTGCCATTGTGCTCCTGAAAGAGGGGCCTTGTCACATCCTCACAGCCATGTATGAGTACCTCCTGTGGCAGAAACAGAAAGCATTGTGTCAGTCAGCAGGCTCCAACACAGGCCTGCTTTATGCCACGCATTCTGTGGCAGTGACGGCCCAATTTAATGAGTTATTTCGGTACTTCAAATAGATGGCAACGTGTTTGCAGCCCTTTCAGTGCTAGCTGCAGTCATGTCACATCAAGGGAAAACAGAATGTGGCTTTTTATTTCTTTTTTAAGGCTGATATGTTTAGGGGAGTCAGTTCCTTTCCTAGCTCATTTAAAGTAACACTGCCTGCTTATAATGGCTCTGACACTGACAGACAATCTTTAAAGAGGTCAGGCAAGAAACACATCCAAAACAGAAATGGCACCCCTGCCCTCCAAAATCCTTCTTCCTGTTGTTGTTCATGTAAGAGAAAAAGAAAGGACTATGAAAATATAAGCCCCACAAACAATGTCAGATGTGTTGTTGACGCTGCTGAAAGTCAGAAGCTTTAGTCAAAGCACGTTTCAGCTCCAAGAATAGAGACAAGAAACATTAAGAAAATAGCAATGCATTTAGCTGCACAGTGAGAGCCACAGCTTCAGACAGCTTCAGAATTTCTCTGCTATACTGGAGGAAAAAAATCATATCTGCCTGGGTTCACAGCTCAACATCAGAAGAGGGCTTAATACTTTGATTTTAAATTTTGTACATTTCTGCTTTCCAGAGTCCAGAATTGCTCAATTGGGCCCATAAAAAGCAGCTTAAACAAAAGGAAATCTACTAAGTGCTATAATGCACAAGTCATGTATAACCTCTGCTTACAGGATGCCTATAACAAAGAGAAAATTTACAAATTATGTCACATCCTTCAACTTTTTCCAGTTGCCACCCAGTTCCTCAAAAGGAAATTTTGTGATTCCTCAGTACTGATATGCTTCATTCAGCTTTGCTTCCTATGTATTTCCTCCCACTCCACAGTTCAGCAAATCTGTTAAGAAAGTGGTTGTTTATTGGGATTTTGTTATGCAGACAGCAACAACATCAAATAATTGATTCTGATACACTGAATAAAGATAGAAGTCTAAAAATTACCAAACCTATTTAGTTCAAACTCTGTTCTCAACAGAACATATTTATGATTACTTTATTAAATCTTCATCACAGCATTACCACATTGACCAGACTGGTTTTCACTTGAGCTCAAGTGAACGGAGGTCCAAGGAATGGCATCTTTCATTCAGGTTCAACATTTACCAGGTCTAAGTTCACCTTTTAAATCAGAGAATTTAAGAGTTAACAAAATGTGTCATTAAAAATGCTGCTTTAGTTGAGAGCTACAAGGTCTCACTTGGCTGGAGAGTATCTGGAAACAGGCACAGTACCTATGGCAACCAGAGCAAAAGTAACCCAGTGCAATCACCACTGCAGACTTCAAACCTTTCCTGTAAGCAGAGAAGAATGTCATTTATTGTTAAAACCTTCCTTCCAAAGAAGCCCAAGACACCCTGGTGATGAGCTGACCCAAGCATGATTTAATCTCCATGAATCACAAGGAACACTGTAGCTGTTTCCTAAGTGGAAAACCAACTGTACTGGGAAGAAGAGGAAAGCTGCTGGGGTGTGTTACACGCACAGGATGCTACTTTAGGGGAATCTCAGAAGAAACACGTTAGCCTCGTTTCTCTGACACGCTACACCAAACACTCAGCCTCAGCACACACAGGCTGGTAGTAAACAGACCTTGAATTTCTTTGCTGCAGGCTATTTCTTTGCTAACACAAAGGGTGTGTTCTGACCACAATAAAAAATATTTTAAAAGATCTAAAGCATGTTGTAACAGTGCAGACGAGGCATCGTAGCTTCACCAGCAGCTGAAGTCAGATCAACAGTGGCTGGAGCAGGGAGCTCATCTCCTCACCTACTCACAGCAAAACACAAGACTTATTTCAAAAACCTGAGTACAGGTAAAAGAGGCAAGTTAAAGAGTAAAGCAATACTTATGCTAATAAAGATGACACTTAAATTTATATGCCACCCTCCTCCTTGAATGGTTCTGGACTGCTGGACACACAGTACTGGTGAACGGAGCTATGCAAAGCTCCTGTTGATACACATACCTCCGGGCCAAAATAAAGTTACACACAGAAGTAGAATGCAATTATGATGTTTTGCATACTTTAGATTTGGCATAAATTACAGAACAGAACTTACTTCTCTTGTTCACCTTGTTTCTCTTCTGCAATACAATTTAGTTGTCTATTTTTTTTTTTTCATTTCAAAAGACCAGCTGTCACACCACCACAGCCACAGGGTAATCACGTATGTCAGGTCAATCACAAGACTGTTACTGACTCTTTTAGTACCAGTCTTCAGAAAGAAAAACCAATATATATACACATTCTTTTGGGAAGCAGAAACACAGTAAGATAACTTCTCACTCATTCTTTTTATTTGGGTCATTAATCTCCCCAGTAGACTTTTGCAGCAAGTGTTGCAAACAAGTCACCAGTTCAAAGATGTTCCCACCTCTTCCCCTCCAGTTTAAGAGGTACATTCAGAAGTCTCTACCAAAGATTTTTCTGGTTAACAGGGAAGCATCCAGAGCATCAAAGCTCAGGCCACCACACCCTGGCCAGAGCCTGAGCTACAGCTACACTTGTGAAGGCCTGAAAACAGCTGACAGACCTCCTGCAGTGCTCCGTGCCCAGCCTACAGTGGCTATGGGCACTCAGAGTTGTGCAGCAAATGGCAGACCCCAAAAAGATACTCCTCAGCACTGGGAGCAGAGAAATGAGCTCTGTGTCACCTTGGAGGGTGGTACACAGCCTCTCCAGAATATGCCAAACACTCCATGCTTACACAAAGCCTTCTGCATTTTTATGCCCCTATTTTGCAAGCAAAAGAAGTCACATTCCCCCCACTCCAAACGCACACATTCTCCCGCAGCACTGTCAGGAAATCTGTTTGTATAAAATAAAGCACAAGAGATTACCAACTGTCTTGGCCAAGTACTGATCACTTACATTTCAGATTAAAAAAAAAAGTCATTAATTTTGTTCTAGACATTATTACCAAAGTCATGGCAACAAGGCAGCAGTGCTACTGCAGGCCAGAGCACCAGTGTGCGATCCTCTTTTCCTTTCAGGCTGTGCACACACATGTTGGGGAGAAAGAAGTGTTCTATCTGAAAGCACAAGCTCCAGCACAAGTCAGCTGCAGCTGCCTTACATCTGAGGGAAGAGGAGCCCTTATCTGCTCATGGGCCCTGGAACAGAAGATCCCACAGAGCTCAGCTCTGGCGCTGCAGGCTCAGGGTGTGTTTCCAGCACGTTGCAGCTCTATCAGCAACGGGTTTAGTGCAGATCTGCAAATGCCAGCAGTTCTCCAGCAAGTGAAAGATCCTCTCACACTGCCAAAATAATAGCAGGTCACAAGTTTCCTCATAAACAAAAGCTGCTTGTATTCAGTATTTTCTCCCCAGTCTGCTGCTTTTATTTCCCTTTTGCTTTTTATTCTTATAATCAACTACAGAATGTTTCCACTCAAGCAGCTTTAAGCATTAGCATTTATTAGAGCAGTACCTAGAGTTCCCAGGGTGATGGTAGCCAGAAAAGTACAAATACATATCCATTAAGGAGAGAACATCTGACATTCTACAATGCACAGGAAGTTGTTCCTTGTGCTAATGAAATCAGGTCATTGAAGGAGATGAACAAGAGGGCATCAAGACAAATACATAAACAATGCCACACACAGAATTTCCATCTCTTATGGTTACATGGAGCAGTTTTTCCCCAGCTTTTCTTATGAAACTACCAG